ATCTCGTCAATCAGGTAAATAATGGCGATGTCGGTTAAAAACGAAGTTACTGTTTGTTTTAAAAATACATTTCTGTGTTATTTTGAACTTAAAGCAAACATTTTTTTTTCTAATCACTAATTAATTATACTTTAAATTAACTAATATTCCTTAAATAAAGTTTCACAAAAATATATTTTATTTTGGGAATATTTTTAAGACAAAGAATTACATTGCAATGAAAGACGACTGAAAAGGGCGCTTATCAGCTATTTTGGAAAAAAATCGATTCCAATCAATACAATTTCTGTTTGAAATACACCAGAATATATTGCTAACTGGAAATAGTAACTTTAACCCCATGATGTCTACAGATAAACATTATTCTTGAGACTGGAAGTAATTATTGGTTGGTTTTTAGTTGAGGCTGGAGGTAAACATTGCTTTTTTTGGTTTTTGTTTTATAGTTGAGGCTGCAGGTAAACTTTGGTTGGTTTTTATTTAAGACTGGAGGTGTAGATTGGTTGGTTTTTACTTGAGGCTGGAGGTAAACAGTGGTTCATTTATAATTGATGGAGGAGGTAAACATTGGCTGGTTTATACTTGAGGATGGAGATATATATTGTTTGATTTATAATTTAGGATGAGGGTAAATATTGGTTGGTGATGGAGATATATATTGTTTGATTTATAATTTAGGATGAGGTTGGTTAGATATTGGTTGGTTTATACTTGAGGTTGGAGGTAAAAATTAATTGGTTTATATTTGAGGCTGGAGGTCAATACTGGTTGTTTTTTTTTTATTTGAGTTAAATACTGTTTTTTTTATACTTGGGGCTGGAAGTAAACATTGGTTGGATTATACTTGAAGCTGGAGGCAAATATTGTTTTTTATACGTAAGGCTGCTCGTAAACATTGGTTGGTTTTCACTTGAGGCTGGAGGTAAAGAATGGTTGATTTAGAATTGATGCAGGATGTAAACATTGGTTGGTTTATACTTGAGGCTGAAGCTCCAAACCTCCAATTAGTCGATCATAGACTTTGCTGCTGAATGTAGATTACCATTCTACCCAGAAATAGTAAACATTAGTCGGATATATATTTGAGAATATAGGGGGTAAACAAAATAAAATGGGGATCTACGATATAGGATCAATAAAATGCATTACTATTCTTGAAGAGATGAATCCATAGCTACAAATTCAGAAAGTCTATAAGCTTAGATGTGGCACAAGGCCGAAAGAATGAGGCACCCAGTGAGGACATAAATCACAATTCAGTCCAGCGAGACATGCTTACTAACCACTACACTGCCTCGACGTACCCAAATCTAAACCATTTTATTTGAACAATTGACCTTAAATATTGCTCACTTCGAATTTCTACAGTCCTATCTCGCCAGGGGAATGATATAATTATATCAATCTATTATTTAATGTTTCCTAGTTTTACTTTAAATAACATTTGGTTAACTGGACGAGTCTCAGTAAATGAAATAACATTGCTACAGAGTCCTGGGTATGACGATAAACTACGCCCGGCAGCAACGACTCTAATTATCAATCGTTATTTTCTGTCATCTTAATTGTTTTTTTTTGTTTTCTTTTCGTAACGATGTTTTTCGTTTTTTCTAATATTCATTCACACACATAACTGGCTTCTTTTATTTCAATCCATTATACATCTATTTATCTTTCAATTAATTATACACCTCTATCTTTCAATCTATTATACATCTCTCTATCTTTGAATCTATTATACATCTTTCTATCTTTCAAGTCGTTATACATCTCCCTTTGAATTCATTATACATCCTCTAGCTTTCAATTCATTATATATATATATATATATATATATATATATATATATATAGATAGATAGATAGATAGATGAATAGATATTTCAATTAATTATATATCTATCTTTTAATTCATTATACATCTCTCTATCTTTCAATCTAATATACATATCTCTATCTTTTAATCAATTATACATCTCTTTCTTTTAAGTCCTTATACATCTCTCTTTTCAATTCATTATAGATCCCTCTATCTTTCAATTCATTATACATCTCTCTATCTATTATATATATATATATATATATATACATATATATATATATATATATATATTTGTCTTTATATATATATATAACTACCAGTAATGATCATAAGGTAAGTACTATAATCATGTATACATGGCATAAATAAATATATACATAATAAAGATATATTAATCAAAATATCAAAAATAATAGCTAATTTCTCACATACCCGTCTTTGTTTACAATTGAAAAGCCCGCCATCGCCGCAAAGCGGCCATTTTGAGAACTTTTACGACTCGTATTGCTCAGCCCTCAATTTTTTTTTTAAATACAGCGCTGAAGATTTGGAAGTTTATCTTCCTGCAAATATTTTTTATTTTGCCTGCTGAGTTTGTCCATTACAGCCGAAATCCTTTGTTAGAGGGTTCCGTAGATGAGGGCTTTGGCGATATATATATATATATATATATATATATATATATATATATATATATATATATATATATTATGTAACCTAGAAAAAGGTTACTGAAGAGTAATAACCAAAATGGAGGTTGGAAATGAAATGTTAATCGTTATTATATCCATAAAATACAATACTCGCCAGCGGCGTGAAGTAGGTAAACCACTGCTAATGTTGGACTACTTAAACACCATATTACTTCCACTTACAATATTTTCCAACATATTTATGATGATTGGGAGTTTCATTTCATTTATTGATTATGTAGTCTTATCAATGAATGTGAAGCTGACAGCATCAATATCAAAATTCTATCTGATCTTGCTACTTTTTTTGTTTCATCTTGGTCATTGATAATCTTACATCGGGCTTCAATATTTCTGGCCGTTCCATTTTTTTATTCATTTTAATTTTATCTCTTTCGTTGTGAAAAGTGTTCTCCAGCTTATTAGTTCCATGGTCGAAGTACTATTCTTTTTGCTGTTATGAGTGTTCACTTTCTGTTGCGGGTGGAAGGGTCATCTTATCACCCATTGCTCTTTCATATCTTCTATTCTTTTATTCATACGGCCTTATTTAAGATACCAGTCTTATCTGATATCTACACAGTTTTCGTTGACTCATTCCTCTTTTGTTTGCCTTTGTTGTTAATTTTTTTTTTAGGACCCGCCGTTCTACACACAGTGTCAACACATTGGCACTCCCTTCGTTTGGTAAAAAGGAATTTCCACTTAGAAAACATCTTCCCCATAACTGTGATGTTGCAGAACAGATACCCGAAAAGTAATTTCCATTATACTGACAACAATAATAAATGTAACCGTAAGTTCTATGCTAGCAAACATCGCACTTCTCGCCTGTGGAACGCTCCCCTGGCTTCTTGCTTCACAAACAATTTTGATGTTCAAAAGTGTAAATGCAATGTCCATCGTTATCTTCGGTCTTCTTAATGATTGTTCTTTATTGCGCTCCCTCCCTAATAGTGTTTTTTTCTTTTTCTCATACTCTCTAACACTCAGTAATTCCTTGCGTCTTAATGGCTTTATTGCCTTGCTTGGGGTGAAATGATTAAAATTTAAAAAATATATAATTACTTAAAGTCTACGGTCAGCTGTAATCTATCCTACATATCCTCATAAAATGAAATTCTTACTCAATCTTTATAGGCCCTTACAAAAACTGCATTCAATACCGTTCTATTTTGAATGGCCTTTTGCATTTGAAAGAGTGTAAAAAAACGAAATGAGGAGAAATTGCGAGAGCCGTGGCTGTGGAATTGTAGAATGACGAGAATACTAAGAAAGAAAGAATAAATATTAAAGAAAAAGAAAAAAGATAAATCAAAAAACAAAAAAAAAAAAATGAAAGGAAAGCAAAAAAGAAAGAAAGGGAAAACAGGACGAGAGAAAAACAAAGTAGGAAAGAGAAAAAAGAAAGAAAAAGGAAAAAAAGACCAAAGGAAGGAGAAAGATCGGAAAAGAAAGAAAAAAATAAAGACTGAGAGAAGGATTGAAAAATAAAGAAAAAAAAAACACGAAGGAATGAAAGAAGGAGAAGGATTGAAAAAGAAAGGAAAAACGAAGGATTGAAAGAAGAAGAATATTAAAAAATAAAGAAAGAACGAAGGATTGAAAGAAGGAGATGAACTGAAAAAGAAAGAAAAGCAAAGGAGTGAAAGAACGCGAAAGAGAAGGGCTGAAAAAGAAAGAAAAAAAACGAAGGATTGAAAGAAGACGGATTGAAAAAGAAAGAAAAAACGAAGGATTGAAAGAAAAAGGATTGAAGAATAAAGAAAAAAAACGGAGGATTAGAATAACGCGAAGGGTTTAAAAAAGAATGAAAAACACGATAGATTGAAGGAAGGAAAAGGATTGAAAAATTAAGAAAAAAGGAATGATTGAAAGAAGAAAAAGAATGTGAAAATAATGAAAAAAAACGAAGGATTGCAAGAAGGAAAACGATTGAAAAATGAAGAAAAATGAATGATTGAAAGAAGGAGAAGGATTGAAAAAGACAAAAAAAAACGAAGGATTCAAAGTAGGAGAAAGATTGAAACAGAAAGAAAAAACGAAGGATTTAAAGAAGGGGAAGGAATGAAAAACAAACAAAAAAACGAAGCATTGAAAGAAGGAGAAGGATTGAAACAGAAAGAAAAAACGAAGGATTTAAAGAAGGGGAAGGAATGAAAAACAAACAAAAAAACGCAGCATTGAAAGAAGGAGAAGGATTGAAAAAGAAAGAAAAAACGAAGGATGGAGAGTAGAAGAATATTGAAAAATAAACAAAAAACGAAGGATTGAAAAACAAGATGAATTGAAAAAGAAAGAAAAACAAAGAATTGAAAGAAGAAGGATTGAAACAGAAAGAAAAAACAAAGGATTGAAGAAGGAAGAAATAAACGTAGGATTGAAAGAAGGAAAAAGATTGAAAAAAAAAATAAAATGAAGGATTAAAAGAAGAAGCACAATTAAAAAAAGAAAGAAAAAACGAAGGATTGAGAGAACACGAAGGATTTAAAAACGAATGAAAAAGCGAAGGATTGAAAAAAGGAAAAGGTTTGAAAAATTAAGAAAAACGAATGATTGATAGAAGGAAAAGAATGGGAAAAGAATGAAAAAAACAAAGAATTGAACGAATGAGATGTATTGAAAAATAAAGAAAAACAGCACTAAAAGTAGGAGAAGGATTGAAAAAGGAAGAAAGAACGTGGGATTAAAAAGATAGAGAAGGATTGAAAAAACGAAGGATTGAAAGAAAGAGAAGGATTGAAAAAGAACGAAAAAACGAAGGATTGAAAGAAGGAAAAGGAATGAAAAAGAAAGAAAAAAGAAAGCGGAAGAAAATGAAAGAAAAGTGAAAATTGGAAGCCTTTCTTTTTCTTTCGTTCTGATCACTTTTACATTTTATTTTTTTTTTTGTTCTTTTCGTAGGAGAACGAAAGAATGAACAAGAGACAAGAAAGAACGACAAACCAAAAAGAAAAGTAGAAAGAAAGAACGAGAAAAGAAAAAGGAATTTATAATAAAAGAAAAAACGGGCAAAAGAGGGAAAATTAATGGCGAAAACGCAAAAAGAAAATAGAAAATAGGATTATTGAAGAAGAAGAAAGAAAGAAAGAAAGAAAAAAAGAAAGAAAGAAAAAAGAAAGAAAGAACGAAAGAAAGAAGGAAGGGAAAAAGAAAGAAAGAAATAACGAAAGTAAGTAATAAGTAAGTAAGAAAGAAAGACATTTTGAAAATCTCCCTGCGAGAAATACCAGTAAATGTAGTCTAGTGCCATTTAAGCCCCAAGCAATGACAATAAAAGATAACAGTTACGATTCGAACGTTTGACCCAAGGATCACAAATCATTAACCTTTGAACCGAAGCAAATCTTTCGGCACAAAATAAGAAAAGGCGAGAAATAAGAAGACGTAAACATGTTTGAAATCTGTTTTTTTCTTTTTTTCTCTCTTTTTTGTTTCACTTTTTGTCTTCATTATTTTCAGGAACTCTCTACCTTCCTTCTCGTCAATCGCCGTAAAATGATATCTGACAATCCCTTCCGCGGGTCACAATTGTTTTATTTCTGGTAGTAACGATGGGAATTGGAACTTTTGATAGGGGTGGAAACTCGGAGCTTGATTGGTGATGCTGTTGCCCAAAAGACGCTTTTCGGCTTCTGTGCCGACAGGTGCCGGGTGTGGGCAGGTTGAGCGCGCACGTGTGCCTGGTCGATGTAAGGGTCAGAGACAAGTGCGATTGCAAAGATCCAGTAATAAATTACAGTTGTCGGTTGGTTTTCTTTGAAGTACACTGTCTGTCTGTACTTTTGTGCGTACGTCTATGGTTTTCTGTGTGTATCTTTGTGTGTGTTTTAGAAAGAGAGAGAGACAGAGAGAGAGCGAGAGAGAAAGAGAGAGAGAGCGAGAGAGAAAGAGGGAAAATGATAAAGATTTGTTATCAGAGGTGTATTATTATTGTTATTAATATTATTATTATTGTATTACTACTGTAGATATGAGTTATTCTTAAAATAAATCGATTATTTATACTAGATGTACCCGTAAAAATTAAACGGATGTGACCAACTAAAATGATCTATTATTCAATAAGTTTAAACCCCTCCCGGCTCTATAGGTCTTTCCAAAAGTATATACCCACCAATACCTTTAAAAAAAATAACAATAGAAGAGGAAAGAAGAAAAAATGTTGGTATCGCCACGGTTTCGTGATATCTAAGGTGTAAAGTGATTTTTTTAATGAAAATTCTTCCTTGAAGCTGATCATCTCAGACGAAATATTTTAAAGGACGGGAATCAACTTTGCCGATGATTAGATTTATGTTGGCGTCATCGAAGGAACTCTAAATATCTCCCTCCATTTACTTGAGAAAGGCGTACCCAGGCAGACAAAAATTCACCAGGTTATTTTTTCTCACTTTCACTCAGCTCTACGTATTGATATATATATATATATATATATATATATATATATATATATATATATATATAAATATAATTATTATACATATATATATATATATATATATACACTATACCTTATATATATATATATAAAAAACACTAATACACTATATATATATATATATATATATATATATATATATATATATATATATATATACACATCTAATCCTAATGTCAGCTATCAATTATAAAATTAATTATAGTCATCAAATTCACTTAAACACGCTACGATTTGTGCTTTTACTGCAATTAGGAGTAGGAACCTAGCGCCCCCCCCCTAAAACTTCTAAAAATCGACATTGAAAATTTAAAAAAAATGTTTTTAATTCTAGGAGCGGGAACTTAGCCCCTATTTAAAACAAGAGGAGAAGGGGCTTAGCTACCCCCACCCACTAGAGTAAATATCTATTTAAAAATATTTATTTTAAAATATTGAGTGGGGGACTTACCCCTTTTTTAAACTAGAGGGATGGGAGCTTAGACCCATCCTTCTCGAACGGTCATAATTTTCTGTTGTCGAATTACCAATTTTTCCTATTTATCCACTTTTGCCATTTTTCCTATTTATCCACTTTTGCCATTTTTTCCTATTTATCCACTTTTGCCATTTTTTCCTATTTATCCACTTTTGCCATTTTTGCCGTTGCCATTTTACCGTTGCCATTTTTACCGCTTTTGTCCATTTTTTTACCGAGCCATTTTACCATATATATATATATATATATATATATATATATATATACAAATAAGAGAAAAAGAAGAAATAGAGTAAAAATCCAAAGGTAGTATCATTTACTTTTTAAAAAAAGCGCTGAATACAAAGCAGTGCAATATATCATTATTTTATTTTTTATTATAAGAGATTATAATAAAAACCTTTTAAATCGCTACACTAAAGTTTTCATGTTTCGATACTATGAGTGATCTTTTTCAGCCGATGTTTCGTAACTGGTTATAAAAATTATGTTTTAAGGAAATTTAAAAAGAAATCGTTAACTCTTTACCCAAAGTTAAAGTGGGGACATAAAAGCTTCTTGAATATAAAAAAAATAATTTGTTTCTGTTAAATGTACGTCTGACTAATCTCCCCCACCACTTCAACAAATGGAACGTCATATTTGGCTACATTCAGGATACATTAGTCGCTGTCATATTCTCCACAATCGTCAAGGAAAAAAATAACTCACCCACCTCCACCCTCTGACCTTATTTTTTTATTTAGCGTAGATCTGACTTTCAATTGGTTAATCGAGAATTATCCATAAGTATTTATTTTTAATTCTGACCTTATGCCTCCCTTTTAAATATCGAAAAAGAGATAAGGATTTGTCTTTAAATTTCACTAAAAAAATTTTTTTTTTATCACCAGTTGCCAACAATCGCCTGAGGAAGTACAATCATAGTACTGAAATATGAGAGCTTTTGTGTAGCTATTTAAAATGTTTTTATTAGTAATGACTTATCATAAATTTATTACAATTATATATATATATATATATATATATATATATATATATATGTGTGTGTGTGTGTGTGTGTGTGTGTGTGTGTGTGTGTGTGTGTGTGTGTATATATATATATATATATATATATATATATATATATATATATATATATATATATATTATTACTGCTGAGGCAAGGCTCTTCGTTAAGACAATTGAGTTCTCCGAGTCACTGGCCTATTTGTCTAAAATAAATACATCTAAATTCACCTTTATCGCTGCCAATGGCTTAGGAGCAGAGTCTCTGACTGATACCAAATAAGTCGTATCGATCCCGGCTTAAGGCAATAGGATGAGGTGCAAAACAGTCTGCCTGTGAATGACTATATATATATATATATATATATATATATATATATATATATCATATAATCAGAAAATTAAGTTATGTAAATTTTTCACCATGTAAAATTAAATTTACAGGATTTTTCAAACAGTCAACGGATGATAAATTATTGAAATAAAAAATACAGCAAAGGAAGTAAGAAAATCTTTATTCTTATTCTTCTCTCTTTTTCTCTCTTTTCTTTTTCTTGTAATGTACTTATGACTTACATGCTCTTTATGTTTGAAAACTCCAGTAAATTTAATTTTACAAGATGTAAATGATCATCTACAGAATGGTATCTTAATGATGATTGTATGAAATATATTGCTCTGTTTATTAAAAACAACATTGAGCTCTATGTGTGAAGTGAATTAGTTTTAATATTGAATATCTTATATGTTAATAGGATTTACTTGGATTATATACCAACAGATTATATACCAATATATATATATATATATATATATATATATATATATATATATATATATATATATATATATATATATATATATATTAAACCGCAAAAAAAATCAAAACACGAAAACTAAGGTTTAAAATGATTTAAAAATTTAAATATCTTTCTTGAAATTTAAATTTTAGTTTTAATTTCAAGCTAATAGGTTAGATTTAATATTTCCAATAGGTAAAATAATTTGCTATATTTCTGTTATGGTCCGGTTCCTTGTACCACGGTGATAGACCAAGGTAGAACCAATAAAGAAGAACTCGAACACAGGTGTGGAATAACACAGATATATTACAAACAGGAATATATACAGAGAAGTAGAAGTGTTATGATGAACAATCAGGGTTAGTAGAGAGAACAATGTAGTCTCGACTTGTATCACTATTCAATGTCTTTCAGTAATTGTCTGAACACGACTCTGTTTCGGACTGCCTCCTGACTCGACTCTTGACTCTTGACTCGACTTGAACTACTGACTCCAAACTACTGAACCCCTGACCCCAATGTGAACTATTTTTAACCATTCCCTAAAGTAGGCTCAGTAAAAAATTATTTGAACCCGTATAAACGGGTTCAGGGCCATTTATTCCCGAAGGAGACTCCGCCCTTCGGCGTAGCCTCCTTCATTCCTCCGCCCGTAGGAAGAGAGTTGAACCGTGCAGTCAGTTCATTGAACGACTGACAATATTCATCCCCCCCACGAGGGTGTCATGTGGCACAATTTTAACGTGGGCATTCCCGAGCCATTAGGCTTTAAAGCCCATTTGAACCCGTATAAACGGGTTTTAGGTTTGAAAAAGGAGACTCCGCCCTTCGGCGTAGCCTCCTTCGGGTTCCTTAGCCCATAGGAAGAGAGTTGAACCGAAATTCAGTTCAGAGGTAACGACAACCCCTTGCCTAATTATTTATTATTCCAAAAAAAATTATTATTATTATTATTGAATCTGACAATTTCAAAAACTAATTTAAATTGAATGGAAAAATTTTAGGTTTGAAAAGCCCACCATCGCTGATTTTAGCACCAATTTTAGTTTCTATTATATCCGTAATTCTCTTATTAAAAAAAAAATCATTTTCTTTTGATTTAAGAAATTAATCTGATTTGTAAAATGTTACTTAATTTAAAAATATTCAGAAATCATGTTTTTAAGACAGCTTTTTTACTTTAAAGTGTTTATATCTGTAAAATTTTTACTTGTTTAATCTAAAAAAACGGGTTTGAGGAATATAAATTTTATAATTTTTTAACTTCCCAGTAATCATTAAAATATAGGAATATATTCTCCGTAATCAAATGTTTTATTGAATTTCAGCTATTTTGGCTTTAAATTTACTATATTTATCACTTTTATTTTATGATAATGTCGGGAATGGACGTTCGTATTTACAAAAATCGTCACGTTCAAGCACATCCAAAACTACAAAATATTGGTGGTCGCTGAATTAATAAATATATTTA